TAACATTTATCACAATCTACTATCACTAGTCAAAGTATCTAATGTACATGCCAATCATGTATCACTAGCACAAAGAATGGTACTTGGCACATAATAAAACTCAACAAATCTTAACAAAATGAATGAATGAATAAATGCATAGAAAACCTACTTACTTAAATATCCTGTCTATTAAAGTGATTAATCAACATCTTTCACTTAACAAAATTAACTGAGTCACTTAGAGGTTATTGAAGAGAGAAGATGAGGCCCTACCTCCAAGAGCTTAGAGCCAGCTTTCACTGAATCTTAATGATTAGCCACTACTACTAATGAACCAACAACACTTTACTAGGATAAAATGAAGAAATTGATTTTTTCTTCATTTTATCAATATAACACAAAATGGTATAGCTTGAGTAACCAGATAATTGCCTCATCCTTTTAGATTTGGTTTTAAATGTTAAACATTTAGTACTGGTTAACATACTCTCTTCTATGCAAAGGAGACTTGACTTGTCATTGGAGCCAGGACAAGAACAAACTGTGGCTCAGAACTGTATTCAGAGCCTTGTTTGTCCTCTTGCAGTTAGCTCAATCACAATAAGGTGAGTAAATTCTGAACACACTATTCTAGTTTTGTTTACTCAGATTCTTCCTTTCCACAGTCAGGATCTGCTCAGAACTTTTCATTTAGAGTCAGGCTTACTCAATAAAATAACTCACCAATATAAAGTGGTAATTACATCAGTCAGTCAAATTCTAGCTACCCAGCTTTAAATAAGTATACTAAAGAATTTCAGGGTCTCCCTGGTGGCTCTGGGGTTAACATCTCAGCACTATCAAGTTATAGGCAGCCACTGCTGCACAATGAGGTCTATCCCTGGCCAGGAAACTGATCCACAAAGCACAGCAGACCTCTACTGTCTCTGCCCTCAGCAGTATATTTCCGTAGATCTGCCTGTTCTGTTCCACTCTCCATCTCTGATGAATCCTTGCCCCCACCCACACCTCTGACCTACATCCCAGTTCTTGTATGCATAAATAAATAAAAATAAATATTTAAAAAATGAATTTCATGGCATAATTCTCTAAGGAATCAGAGTTATTCAAAATAATTTAGGATTGGAATTATACATAATCCATTACTTTTGCTTTAATTATATTGCTTGGATCCATATAAAGATGCTTAAAAAAAAATAGACCTACAAAGCTGTGTTACATCTCACAAAAGCCAAAACTTAACTTATTCAACTACCTGCAATTCAAGGACATCTCCAGAAAACTCTATGTTTAGAAAGGAAAGCAGGCTATATGGGGAAATCTTGCCAAGTGAAAATGATAAAGATTTCTTTGTCTTATACCATAAGTCAGATATACACCTTGTCCAAATGGAAACCAAGGATCAATTTTCTAGCTCATTATTATCACACTTTGGGGTGAGAAGGAAGAGCAGGAAGGAAAATGTTTATCGAAATAGCACAGGGTCCCTGAATTAAACCACACTAATTGTCCCTGAAAGGGATAATTAACACAGTAATTAACTGCTGAGGCCTCTAAATTTTATCAATAGCAGGGTTATGTAAAAAGGACAATGTTTGACCTTAAAGATCTTATAGATTTATAATAGTCCAGCACTTGCCAAAGAGCTCGTCCAAAGATATTATAATTTAAAGATGGTGAGCACTGGAATGAATATGGTTTAGCAGCAGGTTAGAGATAAGAAAATTGAGTCTGGATCATGTAAGTCTGAAGCCTGAAGGAACCTTGGAAATCATCTAACAAAGTGGCAATATTCAAGCCAAATCTGATCTCTTGGTTTCCAAAAGTTTTTTGTTTTTGACCCACCCAGCTGTTTCCCAGCAATTTTTAAATGAATTGCCATTCTTATAAAACTGGGAAATTTTACATAATAATTAGAATTTCTGAATTCTCCTGAAAATCAGAGGATTTGGCAATGCAGGGCCTTCATTGTTATGTAATAATTAGCTGCAACTGAGTAACATTGGCCCTCATTGAATGGGCACATTTTCTCCACTGGCCTAAATAGTATTTTGGTGAAGAAATCTGTGATGATGCTATTTAAACTGGCATATTCTTTTGCTTAGTGTGTGCTTTGTATAATTTTTAGGCGATTATGTAGAATTCACTGTTGTCTGAATACACACTTTAGTATATCATGTACAAATCAGTACATTTGCTATGTCACTTTCAGAATTTAAAAAATCAAGACTCAGCAGTAGCTCTCCTGCCAGCCTGTGACTCTGCAGCTATTTCTCTTCACCAATCTCTCTTTGCAAAACAGCTAGGCAGCTCCTCCCAAGGCTGCCCACCTGTGACTGTGTAGCCTTCTCATTTAACAAGCCCCTCCAGTTTAGGGGCAGCTCTTTTTGCTTGCTGTATGCTTGCATCCCTTACTTCCTTCCCTTCCCTTTTTATAATAAACTTGTCCTGTTAAATATATCTATAAATCAGGACTTGTGGCAACATATATGTGATGCTGAAATGAATAAAGATCCGGTGCATCTGGCAGATTTATGGGGAGTAAATCTGTACATACAAGAAAAAGGGTTCTATTCTACACACAGTTTCATGTATCCACTGAGGGGAGTGTCTTGGAATGTTTCTGCCTCAAGATGGGGAGAACTACTGCATTTGAAAGTTGTTAAGAAAGAGTTTATCTCAAAAGCTTTTATCATCAAAAATAAAATTTATAGCTATAGGTATATATTTATAGTGGCAGATAGTAACCACATTTATTGTGGTAATAATTTTTCATGGTTTGTTGCATTCTCCAAAATCTAGCCCAATTCTACCTCCCAGTCTTACACTCTTAAAATTATAGAAACCAGTCAGTCCAAACTGACCTGCTTCCTCTGAATAAACCTGACAACCATACTTCTGTGCTATCCCCTGGAACCATGAAGGAAATCCTCTTCTTTTAAGTGCTATTTCAAATGCTACAGCCTCTACAAAGCTTTTCTCGGTTCTTAACTTTGGATCAACTTTTACTTTTCTCTGCCAATTAATTGCACACAATGGATGTTGCTACCATGATTCCATTTATATTATCTTATGTTGTAGATATTTGTAAATATGCCTGTCTTTCCCACCAGACTAAACTCTCTCAAGGTGGGAACCATATGTTTCTCCCTTGAAGTCAGTATTAAGCTTAGTTCAATATCATTATTTACAGGAGCTACAAAAACACTCCCAAAGAGAAGACCAGATAGATCAAACTATACACATTGTTTTAATCTTTAAATAAAATTGGTATCACTAGGTGACATTTTCTTAGAAAGCTGTAGTTAGACAAACAAGACTCTTTTCCTCCTTCCCACTGGCCTTCTACACCTATTTTCATTTCATGGGATTAAGTTCAAGAGATATCTCACTTTAGAAACAGACTTAAAATTTTGGAAGTTTAAATGGGTAAGGAAGTAAAACTTGAAAAGTCAAAAGTCAGAAAAGATTTCTAGGGCCCTGATTTCCTGCCTATGACTCTGATTCTTCCCTATATTCATCCTAAAGATATGAAAGGTTCCTGCTCCCCCACTCAGGTACAGAGAAGGGAAGAACCAGAAAAGGATATTCTTAGGCAGTCAGTGGTACTAAAAGTATGAGTTATTGCAAAATTGCAAGTTAAACTTTAGAGATTAAATTACTTTATTATGTAATTACTATTTCCCTGGGCTAAAAAAAAAAAAAAAAAAACCTCTGGCAATGATATGGATACCAGTCCTACTGTCTGTATCACATAATTTCTAAAGCTATACTAGCTTAATGCATAATCTCTACCTTCATTTTAGAATCCTCTCTAGTGTCTTCTTCTCTGTCTTAACCAGCCAGCATTTTTTTATAGAAAAAAAAACAACCCCAAATTAAGGAACTATTAAGACATACCAAATAAAGGGAAGTCCCTGGAACAAAGTAAAAATCCTGCTTTGGGGGTGAGGAATCTATCTGCAATTATGAAGTAATCAAGAGTTTGAAAAATTACAGTCAACTATCTGTAAACCAGGAAACAGTACAAAGTTTGCCATATTAAATAACCGCCCATATAAATAATAAAGTGATATATTTAGTGTAAATCCTGTTTAAATGGAGTGGATTGACCTGCACTAGAGAGGCCTGGCATCCCGAGAAAACACTGATTTGTTTTTGATGACCGAGTGTTTTATGGGTTATGAGCTCTCTCAAAGGCTGTGCACGCAGATGAAGCCAGACTAGGTGAACAGAGAGAGCTAAGGATAAAGTGGTAAGTACCAAATCCTCCTAAGTTCCCGCACAGCGTCCAGGCCGCCGCGGTGACGGTGCCTTGCACCACAGTCTTGGGAGCTGGGCTGAGGCGTTCGCCCGGCACTTGACCAGATGGTGCTGAACTTGGCGTGGCTTTGCAGAATCTGCCTGCTTCAGGTGCGGCTTTTCTCCTAGTCCAGGAGCACCACCTGCGCCCTAACTCTCCCGGGGCGTGCACCAACTCCCCACCAGGCTACGTGGAGATTAGTACCTCTGGAGAACAGGGGCCCACCTTGATAGCATCCCTCTCCACCCCCCAAACCCCCCTCACACACACACAATACTGCTCTGCCACACTAGTAGCCCCACAACTGTCTCAGGGCAGAACTCCACCCAGAGCCTCTCCTGGGGTGCACTGTCCACCCTCCTCCAGGACCCGCTAAGTCAGCTTTCTCGCGCGCGCGCTCTCTACCTCACCTCCAAACCCTCCCCACCCCAACTCCGTGCAAAATGCAATTCTCAGACTCCCTGGGAAACTTGCCTACAGCGGAGAAGCACCCCATCAAAAATGAGGTGTCGACGAGTGGGCACCGGCGCACCAAGGGCACTCAGCTTCCTGCACACACATAAAACAAGAAACCGGTTCCAAGAAGCTCGGCCACTGGTGACAGCCGCCGCCACCTCCTGTTCAGACTCTGAGGAGTTACTTCTGGCTTCCAGGAGGTTAGACGGCGCTGGTGGCGCCCACCCTTGAGACCCGCACCGCGAGCTCCAACCTTTACCTGAGTTGCCGGCCTCGGCGATGGGCTCCGGGGCGCGGCACAGGGCGCAGAGCCCCGGGCTGGCCGGGCGGGTGGTGCGGTGGGGACCGCGGCCCGGCCCGGCTGGCGGCTATTTATCCCGGGCCCGGCCCTTGCCGGAGTATTGGGCAATCGGTCCCGCTATGTGCTGCCCCAGGAGCCGTCGCCCTCTGCCCCCGCCGTGCCCCGCGGCGGTGGCGGCCACATGGAGGGAGGGAGCCGGCCGGCCCCCTGCTCTAGACTCCACCTTCTCTCTCTCCTCCTCCACCCTGGGAAGTTATTCCCACTGTTTTTCCCCGGTCTCTCCTCTTTACGGGGCACTCCGGCCAGTCTGAACCGGTTGTGACTGCGCGGGTGGCTGGGCCGGGGCGGGGGGGTTGGGGAGAAGGTGGAGAGGAGATGGAGGCGGAAAATGGGCGGTAGGGGCGCTGCGCCTTCTCTAGAAGCTCCGGGCCGGGCCGGGCCAGACCCAGCCAGCCGTAGGGAGCGCACTGCTGGAGCCCCAGCCTCGGCGAGTCCCGGAGCCACCGAGGCCGCTGGGGAGTTGGGCGCCGCCCGCCAGGCGCTCTCTCGGTGCGCACCGGAGCGAGTCCCGCTGCCCCGCTGCACCCCAGCGGCCCCCAGAGAGCTGCGCGAAGGACCTTGCACTTTTCGGGAGAGCAGGGGTCTAAATAAGAAGGCGAGTCGCCCCTGGTCTCCCAGGCTCCTGGGGTGCCTTTCTGGCTGGAGCTGTGTACCATCTGGCAGAGATCCCGGAGAAACAGGCACCAGAACTTTGTGCAGTCGGCGCTCCTGGGCTGTGAGGAGTGAGGATGCCAAGTGCTGTCCTTTGTGACCGCAACCGGGAACGGAGGGGGCCCTCTCTGTACACATAGGATGGTCAGGGAAAGAGGCTGCATCTAAGCCAGTTCATTCTGTCGGACAGGTGGGCGGTACTAACTGTACACTGCTGTCTTGGAATCTAAGACAATGAACGTGAGAGCTGAAGTGCATGGGTAGTTATCAACACAAAGTCATGGCAGCAGACTGGAGAGAGCCCAGATGGCCAATAACTGGCTTAACGCTGAAACCTCCTGAAGTGCCATGTCCTTTTTGAGTTTCTGTGTGTATGCATATTTTCGGAAAGGGCCATCATATTGTAACAGGGTGGTCCCTAGGAAAAGGGGAAGTTCCAGGTTCCCTGCCCCATCCAGAAGGGTGGAGCTGAGCAGAGAAAAAGGAGAGAAGAGAAGGAATGAGGAGGGGGGAGAAGAAAAGAAGGAAGCAGGATGGAGAAACAAAAGGAGACCCGAGGAAGCCACATGGAGCAGCAAGCATGTGATGAAGAAACCGTGCTTGTTTTCTGACCCTGGACTGGTTAAGGCAGATGTGGGTGAGAGTCCTGTAGGGAGGTGACTATGGCAGTGTTTATATTGATTTTGATTTTGCTCTTTTCCTCCCAGATTTGTCTGGCCATTTCTGACCCTTTTCCATGGGTCCTGGTCAGAAGGTGCTTCAGTCTTGTGGCAGGCTTTCAGGTCTTGCTTTGGGCCAATCGCTTTTAGGTTTACTTATGCCCACGAGGGGATGGGTAACTTCAGGTGTTTGATTGAGAAGTTACATTCTTTGTGTTCCGTATTGTATATTTACTGTATTAAAGTCCTTTTCATTAAAGTTTTATATGTTTTGTCTTGACACAGCGGATGGCAGAAACCATTTAGAGCAGGCGGTTTGGGGTTCAGTGGTGCTTTCTCTCCCTGTCCTATAACAATATTAGCTTCTCAAAGGACCACTTACCACCAGGACTAGAAGCACTTTTATGCACTGAATGCCTCTGGTCCCAACCAAAATAAAGACCCTAAATTTGCAAAGGGCTGACTTTTGAAGACAAGATTAAGTTACCTAACTTTCTGAACCTTGATTTACACATCTGCAAAATGAGAATGGAAATTCCAGGAATCTTGCCTCCATCAATCAATGTGAAAAGAGAGTAAAAACATATACAATACCTAGAACTCGACCATACATGTATTACAGAAGTCATGCAAGTCATCATCATTATGTCCCATCTATTCTTACCAAATATATTGACTTTCAGGTTATAGGGAAGCGAATGGTCAGTGCTGTTGAAAATCATTTTTTGTTTTACTCTAAAGTAGAGAAAATTGGTGTATGAGGGGCTAAGAAATAATAAGAAAGAGGAAGATGATTCCAGAAAAATGGAGAACTGATGTTAATAATGCTGTCAACACCATTAAACATTTATTTCTGAGAAGAGATGAGATATAATAGGGGCTTTTCATCCTATTCTCATTTTGACCTGGTTTGTGGTTTTATTCTAGTGTGTTCACTTTATAACAATATACTTACCTCTATACTGATAATTGTACACTTTTCACTATATATTTTAATAAAGGACATTTTTAGAAAGCTTTTTCTTTAATTTAAATATCTCCTAGCCACAAGAGCACATATCTTCATGTTTGGTTGAGCCAATCAATGTATGTAAAATTATATTTGGGAGAAAATGATATACTGCTTGAAATATATTTCCATGTCCACCAACTAGCTTCTGAAATTGCCATGTCTTTGATCTCATTTCCACCAAGTTTTTCCAGATTTATATTAGAGAGTATGTAATCAACACTCCCATATCAACTTAGGCTAGTTTTGTAACAGGGTGGTCCCCAGGAAAATGGGAAGTTCCAGATTCCCTGCCCCACCCAAAAGGAGGGTGGAACTGAGCAGAGAAAAGAGAAGAGAAGGAATCTGAGAAAAAGGAAGCAGAATGGAAAGCCAGAAGGAGACCTGAGGAAGCCACATGGAGCAGCAAGCATGTGATGAAGAAACCTTGCTTGTTTCCTGACCCTGGACTGGTTAAGGCAGATGTGGGTGAGAGACCCATGGGGAGGTTGACTATGGCAGTGTTTATATTGATTTTGATTTTGCTCTTTTCCTCCCAGACATGTCTGGCTATTTCTGACCCTTTTGTATGGGTCCTGGTCAGAAGGTGCTTTAGTCTTGTGGTGGGCTTTCAGGACTTGCTTTGAACCAATCCCTTTTGGACTGACTTTTGCCCACCTAAACTTCAGGTGTTTGATTTAGAAATTATATTCTTTGTCTTCTGTACTGTATACTCACTGTGTTAAAGTTCCTTTTCATTAAAGTCTTATATGTTTTGTCTTGACGTGGCAGATGGCAGAACCTACTTAGAGCACACAGGTTTGGGGTTCAGTGGTGCCCCTCTTTCTCCCTGGCCTGTAACAGATTGTACCTACCAGCTAAGAACTGAAAAATGAGCTTGCAACACACATCCTATTCCCAGCTTTAGCGTAAGACCATATGGCTATGGAGCCAAAAACTCAAATGGCTATGGGACCAGGCTGGATGAAGTGTGCAGAAGGCAGCACAAAGCCTTAGGGAGCCTCAAACAGCAGGAGTGAAGCTGAGGGAATTGTTTCCAGACTGGAATGTGAAAATTGCTGCCACCCCCTTGTGAAGGTTGTGAAGGTTCATTGTTCAGTCACACCTCAGCAGAACATTTAGACATGCAAAAGAACTCAGAAACCTAGTCTAAACTGGATGCTTTACCTAGGAATGGAATTTGACCCAGAGAAGCCAGGATGTGCTCCAGATCACCCCTCCAACTCTGGAGGGAAGGTTGGCAGAGACAAGACTTAAAACACCTCCCTACCTCCCAGAGTTTTTATCCCCGGTGACATGCCTGTGTGCTTGTAAGATGGGAGGGCCAGATAAATTTGATATCACTGACTTAACAGTTTTCTGCAACCCCTGCCCTTCATTCTTTCTTGGACCCAGAGGTTGATGTACTTTCAACAAGATGGAGAAAAAAATAAAAAGCTGGCTTTAAATGGGCCTTTCTTGGGATGAAATCTAAGACAATGCATTCAAGGAAAAACTGATATGCTGGTGACACCTTTTATCTTATATTGTTGTCATGGAACTTCTACTTATAAGTTAGTGGTTTGTGAAATATTTTGTTTTCCCTCAGACCATCTGCATCCTCAATATTTTAGAGGATAAGACAGAAAAATTAACTTAAAATTGTTCTTTAGTACTCATGCCAACAAGGAAGCAGAAATATGGGGGCCAGTGGAAGACTGGACATCTGGGAGAGGGTGCAACATTGTTTGAGCACCTAAGTAAGAGGGTCCAGTCCTTCCTTCCTGATTTCTTCCATCCAGGGCAGGTCTCCTTTCTTTTGTCCCCCTTCCCCCACTTTTCCCACCCCCATTATGAATGACAGCATAGCTACAAAGACACTGCACCTTGGGGAAAAAAGTTAAGAGATTTTAATTTAGAGTTAACTCAGAGATCGAACAATCATTGCATTAACTACTCTTCATTCTCTCATTATCTAGCTGATAAAAGACCAGAAAAATAATAGAAGTAGGGTCCTCCCTGGTCTCACAGCGGGTTAAAAAGGACAGCATTGAGAATCTAAAGCCGCTTCTGCATGAGTTCGATTTTCGCCTGCCCCGGAAGTGACCACATGGCATGGGAGACCTCTCCTGACCTGCACGCTGCTCCCCTCAGCAGTGTACTTCGTGAATCTGCCTGTTCTGCTCCCCACTCTGTCTCTGGTGAAGCCTCTCACCGCCCCTGAGCCTCTGGCCTGTACCCCAGTTCTGTATGCACAAATAAATAAATCTTAAAAATAATAATAATAATAGAAGTAAATAAATCCTTCCCTTTTATATTTGTAGAGCTTTTATTTTAAAGCACATGCTTCCAAATGTTAAAAATGACATTAAAGACATATTTTTACTTGCAAGTCTCTAGAATATTGTTTAATCTTTTTCATGCCCTTACTTCATTCTTACTATCTGACTCAAGTGATTTTTAATCTTAGGGTAAAGAGGGAAAGGGAAAAATGTTTTTCTTTGCATGCCTAGGAATTACCAAGGACTAGGCTGTTTCAATTATCCCTCAAAGCAATCTCATGTATTTAAGTCTTATTATCTCCAGTTCATAGATGGGGAAACTAAAGTTCAATGAGCTTAAGTTACTGTGCTGAGTCACTCAACCAGTAAGTGGTACAATAGGATTCAGACCCAGGTATGACAGATTTCTCAGTCTTGTTCTTCCTATCCCATCTTAAAGTGATTCAAAGCTAGTAAAAGTTTGCACTAAGGACTGATTTATATTATCTAACATATAGAACTATCAGATATATTAAGTCATCTAAGTCTCATAGTGCCCCTAAAAAGAAGTTGCTATTATTATCAGTCATGTTTTGCTGCCCATAAAAATGGGTTAGAAAGCATTTAAACAATTTTCCACCAGTCTCACAGCTAAGAGAGTATATAGACTGGGATTCAAATCCATGCTACAGAGAAGCAAGCTCTGAACCA